CGCCTCGCTCAGGGTGGATCACATCTTGGGGGAGGCAAACAAGAGGGCAGACTTCCTGAGCAGGTCAACTGTGGACCACTCGGAATGGCGTCTGCACCCAAGGCTACTCAAGGAAATCACTCATAGGTTCGGTCTACCCATCATAGACCTGTTTGCCTCTAGGGCAAACGCACAGCTCCCGTGGTTCCTTTCGCGGTTCCCAGTTCAAGGGGTGGAGGGAGCAGATGCCCTCTGGACCCCATGGCCAGACGGCCTACTCTATGCCTTTCCCCCCTTCCCCTCCTCCCAGCGGTCATCCGCAAGCTCCTACAGGAGAGGGCAGAGATCCTCCTGGTAGCCCCTTACTGACCGCGGAGATCTTGGTTCGCCGACCTCATCGGTCTTTCCCAATCGCATCCTTGGAAAATCCCTCCAGACAGGGTATCCCTGATCCAGGGGGACCTGACTCACCCGGACTCTCAATGGCTCCAGTTAGCTGTTTGGCACTTGAATGCAGGATCCTGGTCCAGGAGTCCTGTTCGCCAGGGGTCATTGATGTAATTCAGGCATCCTGTATACCGGCGATGAACCGCATCTACGAGGCCACATGGCAGAACTTTTGCCGGTGGTGTTCCACTCGTCTAATACCCCTATTGAGATTGACCGTCCCAGACATTCTAGACTATTTGCTGCAGGGACTGAATAAGGGATTGGCACCTAATACCTTGCGTAGGCAGGTGGCAGCCCTTTCTACCCTGCTCTCTTGCAACACTGTTAGTTCTCTGGGGCAACACCCCTTGATCCGCTCCTTTCTCAAGGGAGCTAAAAATACCAAGCCACCTGTGGTCCACAGGTATCCCACATGGGAATTACCTAGGGTCTTCAGGCTCTTACCAGGGCTCCCTTTGAGCCCCTCAGTTCGTGCGACATGAGGTCCTTATCCCTCAAGTTTGCCTTCTTAGTGGCCATTACTTCGGCCCGGCGTATCTTGGAGATGGCGGCCCTCTTGGTCAGAGAGGACCTGTGTATCTTCCACCGGGATCGGGTCACTCTCCGCTTAGACCCCACCTTCGTTCCCAAAGTTAACTCTATTTTTCATAGGAATTGACATTGTCGTTCCAGATTTCTGCCCCAATCCGTCTCATGAACTGGAACGGCGATGGCATTCTCTGGATGTCCGACGGGCTCTCTGTTACTACATTAAATGGATGGCCCCCTTCCATTTAATGTAGTAACATTAAACATTCCGTTTAATTTCTTACCTTCTTCCAGGGATCAGAAGATCTCGGCCTCCACGATCAGTCGTTGGATAAGAGCTTGCATTGTGGGGGCATACCAGTCCAATTCCTTGCCGGTTCCTCCCTGGGTCACGGCCCACTCTACACGCAGTGTGGCTACTTAGGCGGCCTGGGCCATGCAGGCTTCCATCAAGGAAGTGTGTAAGGCAGCCACATGGTCTTCCCCGTCACCATTCATACGGCACTGCAAACTGGACAGGTACGCTTCTGCCGAGGCATGCTTTAGCAGGAGAGTCCTCCAACAAGTGGTGCCTAGTGGCACGGTTCCAAACTTGCCCGCTTCCCCCCCATAAGTACAGTGGGCTTTGGTATGTCCCATTAGTGGATTATCCATCTCCAGTGCTGGAGAAGGGGCATTGTCTTACCTGAACACCATTTCTCAGCAAGGAGATGGATAATCCACACCCACCCAATTAGGTCCTTAGGCCTAAGGTCTGTTCTGTGAGCCAACACGTCATGCTGTTAGTCAGTAGCTGCGTCCTGTCGAAAACTGGGGCAAACAGGCCCAGGACAGGCGTGGCAAGTTTGGCTGACTTGATCTGATTGGGCAGGAGATTAAGTTAACCCATTAGTGTAGTGGTTCTCAACCTTTCTAATGCCGCGACCCCATAATATAGTTCCCCATGTTGTGGTGACCCCCAACCACTTATACATCACCGGGTGCCAGGGGTGTGGCCAAAGAAAATGGGAAAAAATGACGGACAGCCTTGTTTGGCGACCCCCGTGAAATGGTCGTTCGACCCCAAATGGGGTCCCGACCCACAGGTTGAGAACCACTGCATTAGTGCATTATCCATCTCCGTGCTGAGAAACGGCATTCAGGTAAGACAACGCCCCTTCTGAAAAAGTTATGCACTGGATAATAGTTTAAGGAAGGGCAGCTCTAGGTGATCTCGTTAGTAGAGTTTGGTGGGATCAGCAAACTACAATTAGAAATAAGAAATAAAATATGAGCTGAGGTGGTGCAGCAGTTAGAGTGCAGTACTGCAGGCCACTTTAGCTGACTGTGTTCAGCAGGTCAGCGGTTCAAATCTCACTGGCTCAAGGTTGACTCAGCCTTCCATCCTTCCGGGGTAGGTAAAATGAGGACCCAGATTGTTGGGGGCAATGTAAACATATATATACATTGCTTACTGGTGTACACTGCTTAGAGACTGCTTGCACTTAAAGCGGTACATACGTCTCATAAATAAATAAATAAAATAAATTACAAAGCAAACATGTTTTAACATTGACAATTGGAACTTATTTTCATGTTTAATAACCCAGAGTCAATTTTTGAAGTTACAAATTTATCACATATAGAATTATAAATACTTTAGATTTTGTCATTTATTGACTTCTGAATGATCAATTTGCAGCGACTGGCTTGACTTTTGAAGTATACCACAAAGAGGTATATACAATACATCTTAACACAATTCTACATATAATCTAGTATCTTGTTCTGGTGATGGGTGGAGTGTTTGTTTGGTTTTGGTTTTTGGTGTTTTCAAGCCATTGTTGACTCCTGGAAACTGCCTGGACTAGTCCATGCAGTTTTCTTGGCAAGATTTCAGAAGCCATTATCTTTTTCCTATGGCTGAAAGGATGTGGGTGACCCAAGGTCACATCGCTGGCTTTGTGCCTAAGACAATACTAAATTTCACAGTCTCCTGATTTCTAGTCTATCAGTCCTGTATCTTTGTATGTCAGGGTGTCAAACTCAATTTCATTGAGGGCCGCATCAGCATTGCGGTTGCCCTCAGGGGGCTGGGTGGGTGTGGCCAGGGTGGCTGTGGCCTACTGGGTGGGTGTGGCCTACTGGTTGGGTGTGGCCAGCTCTACATCATTCGCGTCAAGGGTGCCTGTGGGGGCCTGGGCAGGAGTGGGACAGATCTGAGGGTCTCTGGCAGAAGGGGGTGGGACTAGGGCAAGTGCCAAGGCATGATCCACTGGAGGAGCCTCACTGTTCCTCTCAGGCCATGCGGGGGGAGGGCTTATGGAGCTAAGACTGAATACGTTTCAGCATAGATGGCCACCACAAAATTGTACATTGGCTCCTTCCTGGTCGTCCTGGGCCAGGGCCAAGGCAGAGGGGGCCATTCCCTCAGTTTTCCAGGATGGCTTCGCAGGCCACATGAAACCATTTCGCGGGCTGCATCCAGCCCCTGGGCCTTGTGTTTGACATGTCTGTTGTATGTGATGCTCTTTCTAATAATAATTCCCAAAATTAAATAGGTTCTTCCCTTGAAGTGGTAATCTAATGTATGTTTCTTGAAATCCTTGATGCAAACTCATATAATTAATATATGTAAGATAAGATAACCTTTATTGTCATTTTTATACTGTGGGCACAATGGCACACATCAAAAATGAAATTTAGTTGACTGCTCTCAAAGTAAAACACATACATGACACACACCTAAATATACTATGAACAACATATGTATAGACCCACATCCCTACATATACGTAGCAAATAAATATTAAATATTGTCCATCTTGAATATATAACAAAAGGACGAAGCTTGAGAGTTCGCAAGGTTAATGCTGTATGGAATGAAACTCTGCCTGAATCTGGATGTTCTGTTTCGGATACCATGAAGCCCCCTCCCAGAAGGTAACAAGGAAAACAGGTCATGAAGAGGATGTGTAGTGTCCCAGATAAACTTACGGACCCTGCTCAAGCAGTGCTTCTGTGCTATGTCCTGGATGGGAGGGAGGGAACTGCCAATGATCTTTTCGGCCATTCTCACTACTCTCTGCACTGCCTTCCTATCTGAAGCAGTGATGCCTCCAAACCAGACTGTGAGGCTGTATGACAGGATACTCTCGATTGTCCCCCTGTAGAAAATGGTCAGGACAGATGTGCTTTTCTCATGCGGCACAGAAAATGTAGGTGCTGCTGTGCTCGCTTCACCAGTTTCTCACTGTGGAGTGACCAAGTCAGCCTACTTGTTAGCTGCACACCCAGGAATTTGATGCTGGTAACAATCTCCACAGGTGAATCATTTACGCACAGAAAAGTGTGGCTGTGCCTGCCTTTTCTGAAATCAACGATCTTTTTGGTTTTTCTGGTATTTAAAACTAGGCTGTTTTCCTTACATCAGCACCAACCCTTACGTTTCCACCTTGTCATCCTGAATAAAGCCCACTACTGTTGTATCATCTGTAAACTTCACAATATGGTTGGTGGCAAACCTAGCACAACAGTCATGGGTCAACAGGGTGGACAGCAACAGACTTAAGACACAGCCCTGAGGAGAACCTTTGCTCAAGAAAATGGTATTAGAGGTATTTGTTCCAACTCACACATATTGGGGCCTGTTGGTAAGAAAGTCAAGAATCCAGTTGCACAAAGGAGTAACTAATATTAACTAATTAACTAATATTAACTAACTAATTAATTAATTAACTAATATTCTACCATTAGAGCAAATATTAAGATGCAGTCATCTACCACTTACTGAAGAGTAAGCCCTCTTGGTTTGACTGGAATATAATTCTGAGTAATCATGTATAGGACTGCATTTTATAGCTTCAGTCCTGTACGTAAAGAAAAAAGCTTGCAGAGAATTGGACAGGTTTGGAGGGAAAAGGGAAAACCTATTAAAAGACAGATGGCAATCCGCAAATCATATCCAAGGAAACCAACAGAAAACATCTTGCAACTCTTGATTTTTTTCAAGGTCAGATTGTATCAATGAAAATTTTGACTTGTTTTCTATTTTTCTCTTTCAGTTGAATGGATTGTTGCAGTCGCATTTGCTGCAGGAACAGCAGCTATTGGGTATCTTGCTTACAAAAATTTTTTTAGCAAACGCAAAGGCTGTAATGGAATGGTGAACCTCCATATTCAGAAAGATAATCCCAAGGTAGTTCATGCATTTGATATGGAAGATTTGGGAGAGAAGGCAGTTTACTGCCGATGTTGGAGATCTAAAACGGTGAGAGAAGAACATGCTCAATCTCTTGTAAAGTTTTATTGTGAATGTATTTGCTGAATTTCCAAAACAAAATAATGAGTGCTAGATTATAATTGTCGGGGAAAAATAAACAGAATGGCTAGAGATTGATACAGGAAGCTGGTACTAGAGAACAGCATTTTCATTGATCCTTGAAATAATGATCAGTGTTTTAAATGGAGAAATCCTGATGATGTCTTAAGAGAAATGTGAAGGCTCAGAAAAATTGGGAGAGGGAAAAATGTTCAAAAAGATTTTTGCAAAATCTTTTTAAAGAATTGGAATATCCTGTATTTATGAATTAAAGGCTAAGAGTTCCACAGAATATTTTATGGTCTTAAGTTAAAACTAATTCAACAAGATATACTTTTTGATGTTTGTTGGGTGTGTCAGAGATTTTTTCAGAAAGATTGCGTTTCAAAACCTTTATGTTCAGAAAATAAAATGGATCAGGGTACATTTATTCATATGATATTGGTTTGTCCTATTGACTTTTTTTTTGTTCAATAGCCATATCTTTGTTAAGATGGGCTTACAAAGATAGTATGATTTAAAGATGTGAATCTACTTTTGAGCTATATATATGATTAAAACTTGGAATCTATTAAGAATGATAAATTTCTTGGGAATAAGAACAATAAAAGAATCATTTTATTTTCATGGAAAGAAAATGCAATCTCAAGACATTAATTCAAATTCTCTTTATGTTTATGAACTGGTAATCAATTGACAAAGTGGAAAGACTAATAATTCACAAATCAAGATTCAATTGTTTGTTTAAAACAGGTCTTCAAATTTGGCCCTTTTATGACTTGTGGACTTCAACTCCCAGAATTCCTCAGCCAGGCACGCTGGCTGAGGAATTCTGGGAGTTGAAGTTCACAAGTCATAAAAGGGCCAAGTCTGAAGACCCCTGGTTTAAAGCCTAGTCTGAATACTCTTAAAGACAAAGGTTTTTTTTTTATTATTTTAAAACAGAAAATAAAGGGAAGAAAAAATCCTCTATTTTATCTTGTTTTGTTTTTCTCAGAAAACAGATTAAACATGAAACATTTTTAATATTTCAGTTTTAAATGATAGGGAAAGTGAAAGAAATTGGACTGTGATTGCTGATTGCAATAATGCTTCAGATTCAGAATATGAAATCTATTAATATTTTATGGAGCAAAATACATGTCCTGCATTTTCCCTACTTTTTATGAAAGTTTATTCAAACCCAAAATGCATAATAGATGGAATGCTTTATATGATATTTATTTATATATATAGTTGCTACTACTCCGTCTAAGCCAGTGGTTCTCAACCTGTGGGTCGGGACCCCATTTGGGGTTGAACGACCATTTCACGGGGGTCGCCAAACAACGCAGTCCGCCATTTTTTCCCCCTTTTCCTTAGCTGTACTACTCCCTTTTATTCTATTGGCTTTTGAAAGCCAATAGAATAGATTCTCTTGAATAGAGTCTAATTCTATTGGCTTTCAAAAGCCAATAGGAATTGGCCAGGCAGTCTCTGCCTTGCTGAGCCCGCCAAAAGTCCCATTCTGCAAACGGTGCTGCACCAGTTGAGTAGTCCTCGACTTACGACCGGTTGAGTAGTCCTCCACTTACGACCGGTTGGGGGGTCGCGGCATTAAAAAGGTTGAGAACCACTGATCTAAGCGATAGTATTTATCACAACGAAAGCTGTTAATTCTCCAGCATGGAAAAGAATGGAGAATCCACGAAGGGGTTAAAGAAGTCCTCTAGCCCAATTAGACCAAATCAATCAAGTTGCCACGCCCGTGCTGGACTGCATCACACCTCAGTTTCAATTTGGTCTCAGCCCAGGACGGACGTGGAAACTTGGCTCCCAAAGTGAAAATTTCAGGAGGACAGGTTGTATTTCTTTCTGCTTCCCATTCATGGATTTTTTTATTCTCTTGCCATCTGGTCAGCGCTGGGATCAACGTTGCCCCAGTTCGGCAAGAGCTTTCAAAGAGTTAGCTTTGCTGAGGCAGTTTTTCTCTGCATTGGCCAGCTGATCGTCGCGATTGCCGCTCTGAATGCGGCGCAACGATGGGGCTTTTTTTCTTCGGATCCCTGCTGCTTTGGCAAACTCTCCATTCTTTCATTCATTTCATGCTTTTTTCTCTTGTTGATTGTCCAACAGGAGGTTGTCTCCCCTTGATCTCAGCTACTGCTTCAGGATTGCTTCGCCGGCCTGCACAGCCACCATTTTGGACCGCCATGCGGTCGGCAGCCACCTTAGTTTCATTATCTCTACCCTCTCTCAAGGTTGATTTCTTCCTGCCTATTCTTTAACTTCTAATTTGGTTCTCTTAGACTGCATTGTGGGGGTGCTTGGTTAGTTTTTTTTCAGCCCCTATAGTGTGATTTAGTCACAGAGACAAGCCTCCTCAGGACGGTATTTTGGCGGGAACAAATAGATCGGCTGATCTTTCCAACAGTAGTAGGATCCTTTTCAACAATACTGTTACATCCTGCAATTCATAATAATCTGCATTTAAACAAACACTGCTTCCCTTTCCCAGTCTTTGAATTATTTCATCCTCAGCTGAGCCTAGTTGACTATTCCACACAGCCTGTTGCCGCCGTCTGCATCTAGTGGATCGGCAATTGTTTTGTTCTAGCCGCCACTAAGTGAGGCACGAAGGATCCATCACTAAAATTATGTATGTATGTATGTATGTCTTTAATAATTTTGAATATTGGAATCCCAGGTATGGACATTTAAAGTCAATCAGATAAAAATAAAGAGCTCTGGGATGTAAGATAAAAGGCTTTTTTAATTAATTGCTGAGCTTTCATTAACAACCTGTTAACATCATCAGAGCAAAGGGCTAAATGAGAAGGAGTATATGCATAAATTTACATAACAGTTAAAAAAACGGTTGCAGTGAGGCATGTGCACATAACGTGCTTAAGAAGTTCTTAAAGGCATAGAGCAGTCAGTCTCAAGACTCTTTTAAAAGTCGCGCTTGTCAGCTGTTTGGCCCGTAGTCTTGTGGAAAAATAAAAGCCTTTAAAAAAAGGACTTTTACGAATTCCAAGGGTGAAAGAGAGATTTTTATTTTTGCGCAAAAGGTTCAGAAGTGATCTACAATCAGCAAATTTCTGAACAAGGGGGAGGGTCTAAACTAAAGCTTTATAGGTTTCTTTTTCTCAGGAACAAAGGAAGCATAGATGGAATCTTACATTGTATATGGAATCTACTTTGTGTAACATTCAGATAGTTTTCTCACACGTTAGGTCCATTTCTCATGGGAATACAATGAAGGCAGTTTTTACTTTTAAACAATGTTTCTAAATATGCATTAGGTCATTCACGTACTGTTAATACAGCTTTTGGCTAACACAGCTTTCTTTCAGAAATTATGCAGACACATGATTTTTGCTTTTAGTGATTTTTCATTATTATTATTATTATTCTTTATTCTTCTTTATTCTATGTTATTCTATTTCTTTCCCACATTAGTAGATCCAGCGCGCCTTTTAGCCAGCCTCTTGGATTGTATAGTTTGTTTGGTGTAGGGTTGCTGTGTGTGTGTGTTTTGTTGGGTACGGTTATTTGGAATATTTGTGTGTGTTCGTTTGTTATGCTTATTAGTTGTGGGTGGTTTTGTGGTGTTTGGGAATTGGGCTGTAATATTTTGTTCCATTGAATGTGATAAGTCATATTTCATTGCAGGGGGGAGTTTTGGTCTTGGTCTTAATATTCTGTTGTTACTTAGGTGTTGTGTGTGTATGTTTTGTTGTGTGTGAGTGTCTTGCGAGGTTGCAGGATTTATGTTTTGGATGTTTGTGTCCTGGATGTTGTGGTCAGGGGGGTTGTTGTTTCTGTCTGTGAGAATATCAGAACATGGTGTGTTGGTTGTGTGAGTTGTCATGGTTGTGTTAGAATTATATTATATACCCAAAGAACCATTACCAACCAGTGATTTGTCCTCCATTGTATGACCCAAAGAACCATTACCAACCAGTGATTTGTCCTCCATCGTATACAAGATCAACTGCAACACATGCCAATGTAACAAATTGGAGAAACATCAAAAAGACTTAAAACCAGAATACATGAGCATGTTTTGGCAGTAAGAAGACAAGAACAACGCTCCCAAGTCTGGACCCATATAGCTGAGCATGGCCACTCTTTCAACTTTAAAGGAGCAGAAGTCATTGCTCATGATTCCACCAAAGGAGGCCGTCTTTTAAAAGAAGCTTGGTTTTCAGACTGTCATTCTATTAATAGACACATAGACCTACTATGTGGCCCAAACCAAAAGAACATTTAAGGCGGCCGAAAAGCAAGCTGGTTGCAGACTTAGGGCGTTAGAAAGGCAATTTTCCAAAGCCCAAAAGCGAGCGGCAGAGCGTCCGGTTCCCTCAACTTCTCCCCCTATTGCATCGACAACGGGGGACCCGCGCCCCTCGTCCTTCATGCGGGCATGGTCTCCAGAATGGGATCTAGATCAGGGTCTCTCACTCGGGTTCAGCCAGGATCACCTTTCTCTCTTTGAGCAGGATCTAAGAGTGCGGAACCAAGATCCGTTACCAGGGGCCGAGCTCACCCCTCCCACAGTGGGCGTGTGGAACCTCAGAGAGTTTCTCCCTTGCGGGTCCACCTCAGGCTCTGTCGGTTTCATTTACCCCTACAGCGGCGAGACTCTGCCCCCTGGAGCAACCATCATTTACTGACCAACTCCAGGCCATGATTTCTCAGGCATTTGCTCAAGCTATGGCGTCTTCAGCGCGTGCTCTATCGACCCCGGGGCCGCCAAACCCCCTTCCATCTGCGGGGACTTCACGATCCAGGGATTATCAGTACCTGGATCCTGCCTCTCCACCACATTCCTGTGGGAGCGAGGTGTCTGAATATTCAAAGCACATCCTCGAAGAGGGTCAGTGGTCGGATGATGAGCCACACACGGAGGCTCCTCCCTTGGTAGGCTTGTTCAACCCTACATCTTTCCCCTCTCTCTTACGCAA